GTCCTCGTCCGTGGCACTGATCAGTACCACGGTGGTGCCTGCCGGTCGGTCTTCATTAACATTGACTGTGTAGTGGGAGCTCTGGAAGACAGGGCGATGGGTGTTGGCATCAGTGACGTTCACCACGATCTGAGCTGTGTCCTGCCTCGTGCCGTCAGAGGCAGTCACCGCCAGCACGTACTGCCGCTCAAGTTTGTAGTCCAGTGGTAAGGCGAGGGAAACCAGCCCCCCTCCGCTCTGGCTGGTGATAGAGAAGCGGTTCCGGGTGTTGCCACTGGTGATCTGGTAGGTGATGACACTGTGAGCGTCACGATCCACGGCGGACACCGTCACCACACTGGTGCCCACAGCTGCATCCTCGTTGAGCCGTACCGTGTACTCTGGCTGGGTAAAGGTCGGGTTGTTGTCATTAACATCCAAGATGGTTACGCTAACACTGGCTGAGGCGGTGAGTGCCGGGGAGCCGTGGTCTCGGGCTTCTACACCAAAGCTGTAGAAGTCAACCTCTTCCCGGTCCAGCTCAGCGGCCACAGAGATCCAGCCCGTGCCATTGTTGATGGTGAAGGGGAAGTCATGCCCAACTCCAGCCAGGCTATACTCCAGGCGGGCGTTGTCTCCAGCATCAGCATCAATGGCCTGGACGTGCAGAACGAGGTAGCCTAAAGGGACGCTCTCCAGGACAGTGGCCTGGAAAGGGGTGCTGACAAAGATGGGGGCGTTGTCGTTGATGTCCAGGACTTGCACCGTCACCAGACCAGAGACGTTGGAAAGCGGGGGCCGGCCACCATCCTGGGCCCGTATCCGTAGTGTGTATTCTTTGGTTGTCTCGTAGTCAAGCGGGCTGACCACATCCAGGGCCCCCGTCTGGGCATCCAGGTAGAACTGTCCCCGAGCATTGCCACTCATGATGCTGTAGTGCACCAGGGCATTGCTGCCCTTGTCTCTATCCGAGGCTGTGACGCGGAGAACTGGGGCTCCTGGGGTCACATCCTCCCGCACCTGGACCACATAGCGCTTCTCGCTAAACTGGGGTGCATTGTCGTTGTCGTCTTCCACGGACAGGAAAACAGCAGCCGTGGAACTCCGTGGGCCTGGCTCCCGGCCCTGGTCACTCGCCTCCACCGTCAATTTGTAGGATTCCACCTCTTCCCGATCCACAGGGCCCCGGGTTCGGATCACCCCAGAGCGAGGATCGATCTCAAAGACTTCTGAGGGGCTGCCTCCAGCCCCCTCCAGCAGGCGGTACAGAATGTTGGCGTTAGGAGGGGCATCGCCGTCGGTGGCCCTGACTGTAAGCACCTCATAGCCAACCTCCAGGTTCTCCCTGAGGCTCTCCTTGTATTCTTGCTGCTCAAATACAGGGTCATGATCATTGGTGTCAGTCACTAAGATGGTAAGTGTGGCCAAGGCACTCCGTCGGGGCATACCATGATCCTGTGCAGTGACCCTGAAGACGTGGGTGCTCTTGGTCTCACGATCCAGCTCCTCAGCTGTGGTGACAGTACCAGTGATTGGGTCCAAGGAGAAGAAATGATTGGAGCGGCTATCGAAGAGGGCATCCATGGTATACTCAAGTCGACCTGCCTCACCCTCATCTGGATCAATGGCTCTTAAGGACGCAACAGAGGTACCAGCGGGCTGGTTTTCAGGCACTGTGGCCTGGTAGCTGGGAGGCTGGAACTGGGGGGCTGTATTCACATTCCTTTTCCTGCGCCCACCCATAGATTCCTCTGGTAATCCTTCCGCAGCCCTGAGCCCTGAGGCCTGCGCCAGCTTGCAAGACTGGCATCTGAGTCGCGGGGCCTTTAAGCAAGGGTGCTCTTGAGGCAGGGTCAGCTTGCCTTGTGGGGAAAGGTGTCCTCCAATACCCAGGAGACGACAGCTCCAGGGGCAGCTTTCAGGGGATGGCGGAAGAGGGATATGGGCCCCTGATTCTGGACACCAGACCCTCAGGCCATCGTGGTGGGGCACCAGGTGGCCAGTCAGCTCAATACCCGAATCTCTGCAGCGGCTGGTGTAGAGCCAGAGGTTCGAAGCGGAGGCTGGGCAGAGCCAGCCCACGGGGGCGCAGGCCCCAGAGGAGCCGCGTCCCCCGGACCCCAGAGAACGACAGGGCCCCACTTGATCTCCCAGCAGTGGCGACGGCGGCAGCAGCAGCAGCAGCAGCAGAAGCAGCGGCAGCAGCGGCGTTGGGAGGGGGGCGCTGGCAGCCCGGCTCCGCATCTCTCCCTGTTCCCGGCCAGCCGGGTCAACAGCCGCGGCGGCTCTTCCTCCGGCTCCTGCCGGCCCCGCCGCGCCTCATGCCCGGGCCGGGGCGCCGGTCCCCGGGGGCCACCTGTGCGTCCCGCAGGGCCTGCACCTAGATGGCTCGGCGGGGCCGCGCGCTGAGCCCCGACGATGCGCCGGGCTACACCGCTCTCGAAGCCCGGCCCGCTCCCGAGTCACCGCGACCACTGCGGGCTCGCGCGGCGCCTCCACCTGCGCTCTGGGCGCTCGCCACCTGCGCCCGCGGGCCGCGAGGACCCCTGGCTCTGCCGGGTTCCCCGGTTCCCGAGACCTAGGGTGCCCCCTCTGCCCGCGTGAGATCGCCCACCTGCGCCTACGAAGCCGCACGCTCCGGCCCGGGCCTGGCTGCCCACGGCCGCCCTGCGCCACCCTCTCGTGCCCCGCGTCCTCGCCGCGGCTGCTGCTGATCGCCGCGGTCCCGGGCCCAGACCCGCGTTCCCTCGCCTCCCCGGCGGGCGGGCAAGCTCTGCAGAGCGGCGGCGGCGGCGGCGGCGGCTCATTACCATAGACCTGCTCGCGCCGCGGCCGTCTTAAAGCGGCGACGCCCAGCGCGCCGGAGGAGGTGGGGCCCACCCAGCGCCCTCTTCTGCACAGATGCTCCAAGTAAGATTCCCGCCGCCGCTGGTAGCGTTTTTTCTTCCCAGTCCATCAGACATGCTTCTCAGCCAGTGCTGGATCCCTACCACAGCTTAAAGATGAATGAGCCGTCAGAAGCCACACAGGGAACGATAACCATGTAGCACTCTATAGTTAGTGCTCTTCCAAAATATTCTGAAGACTTTGGTGGGGGGGGGGTGCGGTGGGGGCGGTGGATGACACACAAGGCAACTTTCCAGTCTTACTATACATGAGAACCTTCATTGCTACCTCATCCTGCAGGCCCCAGGTCAGACTGCGCTAAAAAGATTTCGCTCAACACTACAAAGTCTCTCCCAGATCCCAGAGGTTGTGATCTCACTTGGATGCCTCTGACAGACCGGTCCCCAAGTCTGTTTGTTTGTTTGAGACAGGATTTCTCTCTGTAGTTTTGGTGCCTGTCCTGGATCTTACTCTCTAGCCCAGGCTGGCCTTGAACTCACAGAGATCCGCCTGCCTCTGCCTCACTGAGTGCTGGGATTAAAGGCGTGCGCCATCACCGCCCGGCCCAAATTCATTTTGATACATCTTGGGTACCACTTAGGCAGTTCAGGAGAGGTGAGCTAGAGGGTCCAGAACTGTAAATACACTAACACTACCAGATTCCAAGGCCCAGGGTGAGTTGGTTCCAGAGACCCAGGCGAGACGGCTCAGCCAGTAAAGACTGCCGTGCAAAAACAAGGACCTGTTTGGACTCCCAACACCCACATAGCAAGGTGGGCACAGTCATGACTGCCTAAACATGAGCGGAATAAGGGCAACAACATGGACATGCCAAGCCCATAGGAGAAAGACCAGGAGGCCTCAACCCTACACCAAGAACTACAGGCAACTGAGGAATTCTGAGTGGGAGAAATCGTCTTTCCCAGAGAAGGGTACCAATTGTTTATTCAATACCAAATGGGTAATTTGAAAACTATATACAAGTAACACTATACAGATGGAGCAGGTAGTATTTGGGAATATATATGTGTATATAAACACATATAACAATTAATGAAAAAAAAAAGAAGGCCATGAATTTGAAAGAGGGCAAGGAAGGGCATGTGGGAAGGTTTGAAGAGAGGAGAGGGGAGAGAGGAGGTAATTATATTCAAAGGCTGGGCACCGTACTGTACACCTGTCTTCTCTGTCAGGGAGGCAGAGGCAGGAGGATCCTAAGGGCTCGCTGGCCAGCCAGTCTGTCCTAATGATGGCCTGAAGGTTCATTCGATTCTGTCTCAAAAATACTAAATATCAACGACTATACTCCATAGGCAAGTGCACACACACACACACACACACACACACACACACACACACACACAAATAAATAAAAGGTTTAAGTTGAGTCTGGTGGCTCAAGCCTGTAACCCCAGCACCTGGGAAGCAGAGGCAGGTGGACCAGGATTTGGAGGTCATCCTTGGCTATGTATTGAGGCTGCATGAGATCCTGTCTCAAAAACAAGAACAAAAGTGTATTTGGCAGGCTGCGGATATAGCTCAGTACTTGCCTGGCTAAACAAAGCTCTAGATTCAATCTAGTACTGGGCTAAGTGGGTAGGACGGGTTATAGTGGAAGATCTTTCTTTAAAAACTTTTAGGGGCTAGAGAGATGGCTCAGTGGCTAAGAGCACTGGCTGTCCTTCCAAAGGACCCGGGCTCGATCCCCAGCACCCACATGGTGTGGCTCATTACCAGCCATAACTTTAGTCCCGGGGGGATCCGATGCCTTCTTCTGACCTGCATAGGCACAGTGCACAGCACATACAGACAAAATACCCCTATACATAAAAAAAATAAAAATAAAATTTGTAGCCAGGCATGACAACACACACCTTTAATCCCAGCACTCACTTGGGAGGTAAAGGCAGGAAGATTTTTGTGAGTTTGACGCCAGCAGAGGCTGCATAGTGAAACCCTAGCTAAAAATTAACTAATTAATTAAAATTTGTTTTATTACATGTATGTTTGATGTTTTAAAATTTCTTACTAATTTGTTTTATTACACGTGTGTGAGTTTTTTAAAAAAATCTTTTTTTTGTTTTGTTTTGTTTTGTTTGTTTTTCAGGCAGAGTCTCACTCTGTAGCCTTGGCTAGCCTTGAACTCACAGAGACCAGCCTCCCTCTGCCCCCGAGGATTAAAAGGCATGTGCCATACCCAGATGCAACTTTTGAGAATTGTTTCTTTTCTTCCATGGAGGGCCCCAGGGCTTGAGCCCAGATCGTCAGGCCCGCACAGAGGATGCCCTCACCCGCTGAGCCAGCTCTGGGGCCCCAGTCTTCAGATATGAAGCAGAGGAATGGAGCGCCTAGGGTGAGTATGGAGTCTGTCTCCTGTGCTCCAACCAAGAATCCCTGCGCTGCCCTGAGCAACTTCAGGATCCTTAGGATCTATTTTAAAAATCACTGGATCAGATGCTCTCTTCCATTGCTGCCTCTGGTCACAGCAGGGCCACTTTCAGTTCTTCACAGTAAAGGACTTTGCTCTAGATCACCTTTGCTCTAGATCAGAGAACCCCCATGTGGCCTCACAGCCATGCCCAAAGTGACAAGCCACTTTTTCTTTCTCTGCAGGGGAATATAAGGGAAGCCGGGCAGAAGGGCTATGGGAGCCTATTTTCCGGGTAGTGGTGGGTGGGCAGGGTTGGAGGAGGACCCGTGGTTGCTGGAGTGACTGACAATCTGACCCAAGATGAACGTCCTTCCTCTGGACAAAGTCACTCCAGATAGAGGGGTGGCGTAAGTGGTCTCCACAGGGCTCGGCCTCTCCTGACTTCCTCAGACGCTATGGTTTGGGAGGATCCGGGGATTGTGTGGGCATTTTGCTCTTCATTTAATAGCCATGTGGTGCAGAGAATGCTTGGAAATTATACTGTCTGTTAATTATCCTTTGAATTGGGGTTGGGTAATGAGACTCGTTTTTGATGAAGGCCCAAGCCAACGCATGCAGAAACTGTAGCTCTTCGCTCATCTGGCTCCTGGTGCGACTGAAATGAGCCTTCTGGGTAGAGGAAAGAGCAACTTTGACTCTGGAATGTGGCCACGGTTCTGAAACCCAGCCAGGAGGCCAGGGCTGCCAGGGAAGGCTCAGGCCTCCAGATCCTCCTCCAAGTAAGTGGCCTTTCTGCTCAAGGTAGACAGGCTAGGGGTGCGTGGGGAACCCTCTTTCATCTCTAGACACAGTCGGCAAATAGTACTTAATCTCCTCCCAGCTTCACCCCCTTAGGGGGACAGACAGCTGCCTCCTCTCTCATCCCCCTCAGCTTTTTCCACCTCCCTGGAACAGGAGGGAAAATTCTAGTCTTACATGCATCACTGGGAGACTCGAAAAGGGGTGACCCTGGTGTTGAACCCTGGAGGGGCTGCTTGCTTTATAGAACTTTTCAGCTATAAGGAACCTTGGGTCTCTCTCCTACCTGTTCCTACCCCAGGTCCAAAGAAGTCTTACAGACTTAAGGGAATATACTGTATGCTTGTAAGATCAGTTACTTTGGAGGCTCAGGTAGGATGCTCAGGCAGAAGAATCAGAGTCCCAGGTCAGCCCATACAATATAGCTACACCCCAACTCAAAAGGGTGTGTGTGTGTGTGTGTGTGTGTGTGTGTGTGTGTGTGTGTGGTGGGGATGTATTACTGTATTGGAGACTAGTCTCTAGACCTATGCCAAGTACACACTGGGTAAGATATGGCCCTGGCTCTAATGTAATTTAGGCAGGATGTTTCTGAAGCAGCCGGGACAGGGAGTTAAGCTGATAAAACGCTGGCCTTGCAAGCACGAAGGCTTGGTTTCCATCCCCAGGACCCACATGAAAAACAACTAAGTGTCGGTCTGTTTACTTTTGTGCTCCCGATGCTGGGAAGGTGGAAACCGGCAGATCTAATCAGCAACTTGAAAAGCTTGAACCTGTGGAACGGACAGCCGGGGCTGTTTTCTGACTACTGTGTGCGTGTGTATGTGTGAGGGCACGGGCACACGTGTGCGTATGCGCGCGCATGCACGCACTAAGAATAAAACATTTTTACAAGTAAGTTCTTGAGAGTGACCTGGGATGTGAAAGTGGTGGGGGTGAACACTGGGGTCAAAGGTTTAAGTGAGAATGGGGGAGGGGACAGATGAGAAGAGAGGGTGGGGCCTGGGTTAACCCAAACCCTTATGGAAACCTACTAAGCTACTAGAAAATTAAATTAAACCCAATTTAATTAGAGAAATGTGTATGTGGGCTGGAGAGATGGCTCAGCAGTTAAGAGCACTGGCTGATCTTCCAGAGATCTTGAGTTCAATTCCCAGCACCCACAGGGTGACTCACAGCCATCTGTAATGGGATCTGATGCCCTCTTCTGTCATGCAGGCAGACAGAGCATTCATGTACATAAAATACATAAATAAATCTTTTCTAAAAAAAGAAAAGTGTGTTTGTGTATATTAATGCGGAGTTTGAACACATTACCCTGCATAGGTAATAACATATCATTAAATAACATTTTCTGTGCCGGGTGTGGTATACCTCTCTCTATGGGTTATTGGTCAGGAAGGCCATAGTTTCCCCAAACAACTCAGGCTCTTGCCATGGCTCTTGGTTGCCCACCAGAAGTAGATGGTAAGACCCTATTGTTGTTGGCACATGCCTTTAATCCCAGCATTAGGGAGGCAGAGACAGACAGATCTCTATGAGGCCAACCTGGTCTACATAGTGAGCCAGCCAAGGCTATATAGTGAGATCTGTCTCAAAATAAAAAGCCAACAAAAATGAAAAGACCCTGGTGCTGAGGACACTGCACACTTTGGTTGCAGGACGTAGAGGATTCTGGCTGGAACTGACATACCTGGAAACTTCTTCCCTGCTGGCTAGCTTTCATAGTACCAGAAGGTGCTGAACAGACCACTGGGGGAGAAAGGCCAGTGGTTTAAACCCTGAACACTACAATATTGATCTGCCAGGCAGGATGTAGTCACTGGCAAACAGTGGCATGAAAGTTATGGGGTAATCAACTCTTTCTGACTGGATTTGAGGACCCTTCCATACTAGCAAATTCATACCGGGTACTGTAAACCTGGTCAAAAGCCCGCAACTGGAAGGACATAGGCCCAAGGAGAACCTACTACTTGTTTTGCTAAATGGTCACACTGTCAAGCTGCCTTCTAAACATCCATGTTTATATCTGTAGGTTAGTGCTGCTCTCAACTTTGGCTAGAGAAATTTCTCCAGAGTTAATTCATCCAGAGGCTCATAACTGGCCAAACTGCTAAAATAAATCACTATTGAGTGCTCAGCCTTAAATGGGATGTTTATACCATCCAAGGTTCAGGGACGATGTCGAAGAGAGGGCGGGAAGAACGTAAGCACCAGAGGACAGGGACAAGGGTGTGGTGGCACATACCTCCGATCCCAGTACTCTGGGTTCAGGTCATCATGGTCTACAGAGCAAGTTCCAGGCTAGCCAGGGCTGCACAATGAAACCCTTTCTCAAAAACAAACAAAGCAGAACACACACCAAAAGCTGGGGTGTCCCTCAATGGGTAGGATGCTTGTCTAGCAAGCCTGAAGCCCGGGTTTAGTCCACAGCACTGCATAAACTGGGCTCAGCACTCAGGGGATAGAGGCAGGAGGATCAGAAAGTTCAAGGTCATCCTTGAAAGATCAGAACCTCAAGATCATCCGTGGCTGCATAGGGAATTTAAGGCTAGCTTTGGATACACAAGAACTTCTCTTTAAAAAAAATAAGGGAAAAGAAAATGTTAAAAAGGATGCTGTAAGAAACACTTTCCCGGGGCCGGGCGGTGGTGGCGCACGCCTTTAATCCCAGCACTCGGGAGGCAGAGCCAGGCGGATCTCTGTGAGTTCGAGGCCAGCCTGGGCTACCAAGTGAGCTCCAGGAAAGGCGCAAAGCTACACAGAGAAACCCTGTCTCGAAAAACCAAAAAAAAAAAAAAAAAAAAAAAAAAAAAAGAAACACTTTCCCCTGGTTCATTAACGGTTGACATTGCTTTATTTCTCACAACTTTTGGAGTACCTCTACTCTAGGCCCCTCCGCAGGCTGGACCTGAGATGCAGGGCCCTCTCCTTTGCCCTGCTCATCCCCGGGGCCTCTGCCATGGCCACGACCAAGAACAAGAATGAGAATTCCTAGGATGATCTCATACCCAGCCTGAGACAAACTCCTAACTATCCTTTGAAGTTTCTGCTTTCAAACCAGAGTTTTGTGCATACCATCTAGTTAAATGCTGCTTTTTAACTTATTATTATGGGTATGTTTGGCATGTATCAAGTATTATGAGTATGGTGCATGTTTGCCATGATGTGCCTGTGGAGGTCAAAGGTCATCTTTCAAGAATCAGTTCTCTCATCTACCGTGGGATCTGCAGCTCAACTCAGGTCACCATTGCTTGGCAAGCTTTACCCGCTGAGTCATCTTGCCAGCTCACAGGCCACTTTCCCTTTCTGTCTCTCTCTCTCTCTTTTAAATGACATAGTCTGAAGAGCCCAGGCCTTTTCTTGTTCAGGTGCCACACTTTGGATTTATCTGTTTTTTTAAGCTTGTGAAACAGGGTCTCTCTGCATAGCCTTGGCTGTTCTGGAACACACTCTGTAGAGCAGGCTGGCCTTGAACTCACAGAGATCTACCTGGCCTCTGCATCCCAGGATGCTGGGACTAAAAGTGTGAACTACCGTGCCCTCAAAGGATTTATCTGATTTAAGGACCCTTCATGGTGTCCTTTAGAGAGAGTAACATTTCACACTGAAGTCTGAGTATGCTGCTTTCCTTCTGAGACCCCTGCCCTGTTGCACACTGGAAAAAAACCAAAATCTTTAATCCACAAGGCTCCATGGGAAGTGGCCTAGCCTCTCCCTACGCCTCGGTCTGTTCTGGACACCTGGGCCCTCCTCCCAGATGCTGAACAGAGCCCCGTTCTTCATGTACGGCAATTTGCCATTACACAGGATATGCACCTCAGTTTACCTGGTTCCTAGCTGTTATCCACAGACTAGGGAGAATGTGTCCCCAGTCCCTAGCATCTAGAATGTGACCTGACACATAGTAGATAATCAGTAAATATTAATCAAATGAATAAGTAAATGAATCGATAGGTAGACGGCACAGATGTCTGTCAGATGTTTCTTCATGCTTGGAACTTCCACCTGGGAGGCAGTTGGGTGTTACTTGAGCCTCAAAACTGCATTCTCATGGCCTGCTGTACCTAGGGACAGTAGGCCCGATGCCCCGACTGTTAGACTTTCAGTGGGGCTCAATTAAAGATGGCATGGGTGCCTTCACCATGGCAGGTTCCAGCCACAGTGCTAGGGATATTTGTTAGCGATGGCTTAAAAAGCTAGCACTCTGGGGCTGGAGAGACGGCTGAGAGGTTAAGAGCACTGGCTGCTCTTCCAGAGGACCGGGGTTCAATTCCCAGCAACCACGTGGTGGTTTACCAGTCTGTAACTCCAGCTCCAGGAGTTTCGACACCTTCACACAGACACATATGCTGGCAAAACACTAATGCATATAAAATAAAATAAAAATTTAAAGCTAGCATCCTATCATGACGAAAGGCCCATCCCAAATGCAGCTGAGGTTGTATGTGGTCCCTGAGCACAGCAGGATGAGATGAGATGGAGCCCGGGGCCGAGGCTTGTGCAGAAAACCGCAAAGCTGTTAATAACTTCGTTGTTCAGGTTGTCAAAGGAGACAGAGGAGGCAGGGCACAGGCGGACAACCCAGGTGCGTGAGGCTCTGGTGACTCTGGTTCTGACCAGCCAGTCTGGTTTGGACTGAGACAGCCGCCGTTATCAGGCCTCGTTCACTAATATTTCCGTATGTGAATGGAAAAGGGAACCCCTCCCTTCACTTATTTACTGTGTGCACGTGTGTGTTTTCAAGGTTAAAGAGCAACCTGCAGGGGTTGGTCCTCTCCCTCCACATGTGGGTCCTGCAGATCCAACTCTGCTCACCAGGCTGGTGGTGAGTGCCTTTAGCAGCTGAGCCACATCACCAGCCCTTTACTCAAGGGGGATCTATTCTGGTACCCTACAGAGGCTGTGCCTGCAGGGGGCTGTGGTCTGTGGACCAGCAGATGAGCAGATCTTATGATGAAAGCTCAGGGCAGAGTGGCCTAAGATGCGGAGCAGGAGACCTATGGTACCTCCTGGGTGTCTGCGGCAGGGACACTTGTGGACATATTGTGGGGACAAGGAATCAGTCAGGAAAGGACTTGAGGCTTGCTAGAGGGGCTCAGTCTGCATGCTGGGGAGTCCCAAGCATTATTGGAGATCAGGCGTATGGAAAACAAGGGCTCAGATGCATGTGGAGACAGCACTTAGAGTCGGGTGCCATGTTTCTTTCCCAAGCTCCTTCCTCAGCCTCAACCCAAATCTTCCCTTTGCAATCCAAGCTTTCTTCTGTCTGGGACATTCCACATTCCCTCCAGGTGGGCAGACACCCCAGGGCGGGGACACTGAGGAGGTGCTAGGATTGCAAGTCCCTTGATGGTGAATCTTTGAGCAAAGGGAGGCAGACAGGATGCTGTCAGAAGATGGGGAGGCAGTGTAAGCAGGCCGATACTGAGGGTGAGAGGGGCAGAGGAGAGGACCAGAGGGAAGAAATTTAAGAAGGCTAGCTTAGGAATAAGACCCAGGAGACAGAGTATGAAACCCCGGGCACAAGGAGATAGGGCTGGTTTGAAAGAATAAAAAGAAGTTGTTTTCTCTGACACTAGATGGAAGGGTGGACGCCATTCTCCATTAGGAGCTTAGTCCTTCAGTTTCAGGATTTAAAATCCAGTCGTCCCTTAAGGGTCATATCTTCTTATCAGCAATTTACACCTCGGCAAATGTAATTTCCCAGACTATTTCTGACGGCAGGCTTCTGTAGGGGAGAGGGTGGGGGCCAATCTGATGAAGGGATATGAGACTCCAAAACGCAGGGTCTTCAAACCAGCCAGCTGGAGATCCGTCCCTCCAGAACAAGGGGTCTCCTCATAGACCACGGGCACCTCTGCCTCTGACCAGAGCCTTGAGAACGGGGATGTAGGTCTTTCCAGGCACCTTGGTGG